GGATCACTAGCTACAACCTTGGGAAAATCACTTGAACTTCCCCAGCCCAAGTTTCCTTATTGGTAAAATAGGGAGAGCAATACAAGATCTTCCTGCATCCAGCATTGATGTCGGGATCCAATGAGATACTATGTAGTCGTGGGTAGTGGTGGTCATAGCAGGGATGGGATGAATAATTTCTATTGTCAGCCTATTGGAAATCAGTCTATGCCTATACACCCACACTTCCTTGCCTTGTTCCCCTTGTGGCTAATGGTACACTTTAAAAAAAAAATAATTTATTGAGATGAAATCCACGTAACAAAAATTAGCCATATTAAAGTAAACAATTCACAGGCACTGGGTGTAACCACCACCTCTATCTCATTCCAAAACATCTCTATCACTTCAAAGTAAAACCCTTCACCCGTTAAGCAGTCACTCCCCATTTCCTCCTTCCTCCAGCCCCTGGCAACCACTAATGCATTCTAACTCTATAGATTTATCTATTCTGGATGTGTCATATAAATGGACTCATACAATATGTGACCTTTTGTGTCTGGCTTCTTTCATGTAGCATAATGTTTTGGGGGTTCAACTGTGTTGCAGCATCTATTAGTACTTTATTCCCTTTGTGGCTGAATAATATTCCATTGTGTGGCTATGCCAGGACTTGTTTATCCATTCATTTGTTGATGGACATCTGGGTTGTTTCCATCTTTTGGCTATTGTCTTAGACAAGTGGTATTTCTGTTATAGCAGCATTTAGATAACTAAGTCTTTAACAAACAGAAATGTATTCTCTCACATTTTAGAAGGCTAGAAGTCCAAATTCAGGGGAGTGGCTTCAAGAGAAGGCTTTCTCTCTCTGTCGGCTCTGGGGGAAGGTCCTTGTCATCAATCTTTCTCTGGTCTAGGAGCTTCTCAGTGCAGAGACCCTGGGTCCAAAGGACACACTCCACTTCTGGCTCTTCTTGTTTGGTGGTAATGTGGTCCCTTTCCCTTCTGCTTGCTTCTCTCTTTTATATCCCAAAAGAGATTGACTCAAAATACAATCTAATCCTATAGATTATGTCCTGCCTCATTAACATAATGGCCTCTAATCCTGCCTCATTAACATCATACGGGTTAGGATTTACAACACGTAGGATTATCAGATCACAAAATGACAACCACACAACACTGGGAATCATGGCCTAGCCAAGTTGGCACACATTTTTGGGAGACACAATTCAATCTATAACAGCTATTGTAGAAATAGTGCTGCTATGAACCTGTGTGTGCATATACTTGTTTGAGGACCTATTTTCTGTTCTTTGGGTATATTCCTGGCAGTGAAATTGCAGAACCATTAAGGGTACACTTTTTTAAGTCAGCTGGCTAGCACTCCTGTTGAAAGAAATGTTTTGACAAAGTCTGCTGTTGATTTCCCATGCAAACAGTGGCAAGCAGTACGCCGGATAGATAATTAAGAACAGCTACTCAAAACATGACTTCTGCTTAGCGCTGAAATGAGGGAAGGAGGGAGCGCACAGAAGGAGGCCTTAGAACACCTACAAAGTGAATAATTAAGAATTAACTCTAATAAGAACTTGCAAAATCCCTGTACAAGTGGTGATTACATCACTCTGGATCTGAAAAGCCAAGGTATAAAGCAAGCAGATTTGGAATAGAGTCTCTGACAGCCTATATCTCTCTTATTTTTGAGGGAACTGCTGAATCTGAATCATTCAAGCAAGACCTGGTTTTGTCTCTCAGGCCTGGGATTTTGCAGGTTCCTTGGCTGTGGATGGGCTGTGTACGTACCTTCATGCAGATTGTGGGAGCAGCTCCTGGTTTGCTCAACCAGCTGACTATTACAAAGAAGGGTTATATTTTGCCTCCTCTGTCCAAACTAGAGGATACAGAGCATAGTAATTAGTGGCTAATCACAGGGCATGCCAGAGTCTGCCAAAAAAAGAAAAGAGAAAGAATCTCCTCCCCAGGGCAGTTCCTACAGTTGCCCCCAAATTGCTTCTAGGTGACTGCAAAGAGCAGATTACCCCACAGCTGGCTGCCTGCAATACCCTAGGAGGGTGGATAAGAGCAGGGGGCATTGAAGACAAACTCTAGTGGCTGCTCAGCGGCAGCCCACCCCCCACATACTCGTATCTTTAGGGTCTTCCCTTTAAAACTACATGTTTTGGTGGCCATATTTGGGGGGATTAACTTAGCATTACACCATGTGCCTGAGACTGTTTAGGTTCATTTGAAGATGAAGAGCTGGAGGTTAATGAAGCCACTCCAAAATAATAGTAATAAGCCAAAAGAAGAAGGTCTTCATAGTAGGAAGCATACAGGATTTGGAGTCAAGCAGACCTCTTTGCACTTGTACCCTGTTCCTTGCTGAGCAGGAGGTGGTTGTGGTTCAGTGGCAGAATTCTCGCCTTCCATGCAAGAGGCCCGGCTTCATTTCCCAGCCAACGCACCTCATGCGCAGCTACTACCCATCTGTCAGTGAAGGCTCGTATGTTGCTATAATGCTAACCAGGTTTCAGCAAAGCTTCTCGACTAAGAGTAGGAAGAAAGGCCTGGTGATCCACTTTCAAAAAAATCAGTCAATGAAAACCCTACGGATCACAATGGTTCAATCCCATTGTGTATGGGGTGGCCATGAGTCGAGGGCAACTCGACAGCAGCTAACAACACCTGCTGGGTGACATCAGACAAGTTACTTAACCTCGCTGAGCCTCAGTTTCTTCATTAACAAGATGAGGATAATAATAGTAACTATTATTTGTTTGCGAAGGGATAAAATGCAGCATAGTCCCTGGCATTCAGAGTGTGCAGTCAATAATGACTGCTAAATAACTCCCAGGATTCTCAAAGTATTCACTTTGCTTGGCACAACACAGCCCATTTCCAGAGTTGCATAAATACACTACCCGCAGAAGCATTTGTTTTGTTCTTTAAAGAGCTGCAAAGCGCTCAGCCGAAACTATTGTTTGTTCTCTTTCCAAAGCTAGGAAGGTGGAAAAGGGGGAGGGTTACAATTTTCCATTTCACAGATAGGAAATTTGAGGCTTCGAAAAAGTAGATGACTTGCCTCACGTCACATAAAGCCAGCAGCAGAGCTCGCATCGGTGACGACCTGCGTGCGATGCAGCTGTGTTCACCTTTCCAGAGTCAGTGGTGAGCCACTCATGCCTGAGCTTTACTACCGCCAGTCTAATGGCTCAGATTTTCTACAGCTGCTGGTCTTGAGCATCTTTGACGCTTTGGGGAAATCACGTGGGTGATCTGACCTTAAATCTCATGCCACTGGCAAAAGATTAATTGCTAAGACCCGGAAAGGGGCCAGACAATTCTGTGTAGCTGGATAGCAACACGGTCTAGGGATGCGACTGTCCTGGCAGATTTAGTTAGTACATAATTGATATATCTAGAGTTTGTGTAGCCTTGCTTCACAGATAGATAAGGCAACAGGTTCCAAGGGTTGACATTCACAAAAGTCTTACCAGTGTTTTGTATCACTGAATCTAATTTTCTACTCTCTTCCTCGCAACTGCTCACTTTCTAAGGCTCTGTTCTCAGGAGCCAAAGGTGATGGAGTCTAACAAGAATGCCACCTTGCCCAGTGGAGGCAAGAAGGCCCATCAGCTTGGTGCAGTCACATGACTCATTTTTAAGTCTTATTAGCCCTGCGTCCAACGTGGGTTGGAAGGTTCCTGAGTGGTACAAATGGTTTGCCCTCGACTACTAACCAATATGTTGGCAGTTTGCACGAACCCACTCAGCGGTACCACAAAAGAAAGACCTGGTGATCTGCTTCCATAAAGATTACAGCCAAGGAAACCTAATGGAGCATTTCTAGTCTGTAACACATGGGGTCTCCATGAGTCAGAATCAATTCAATGGAAATGGGTGTGGTTTTTGGTTTAATGTGGGTTGAGTTCAGAGAGGGATTCACTGCATTCCATAGCAGTTAGGAATTTTTTGTCACCATCAGAATCCAGGAAAGATAAGAGGCAGCCAGAAGCAACAGAAAAACTTGGAGAGAGGGCCTAACCTGGACAGGAAATCTTTTTCTTTTTCTTTTTTGGCTTTAACAAACAAATTTATTTTCTCACAGTTTTTGGAGCTTTTTTCCTAATTCTTTTTTTTTTTTTTTAATTCTATTTTAGTTGAAGGTTTACAGAGCAAATTAATTTCTCATTAAATAACACACATATTGTTCTGTGACATTAGTTGCCGACCCCATGACATGTTAACACTCTCACCCTCTTGACCTTGGGTTTCCCATTACCAGCTTTCCTGGACAGGAAATCTTGCTCAGCTACTCTCGTTCCAGAGGCCAGTGTTATGAGACCCCTTGTAACAAGCTGAACCCTGACAGACACACAGAAACTTCAGCACTTATTTCTTTGGGTTTGGTCACCCACTCCAGACCCACTTGGCTGCTTATCAGAAGGAATTGTTGGTGGATATTTTTCTCTGTAATTCGTATTTGGAACCCATAGAGTTTATCACACGGTTTGGTTATCTTTCTTTAATTCCTGCTCTCTGGTTTTATGTTTTGATTCAGCAGGCCTTGTTGAGTGCCTAATACACACCCAGTGCACTTCTATAATTTTGTCACTTCCAGTTGTGAAATAGCGGACCCAGTAGATTATGTCAGTAAATCAGTGGCTTACAGTGTACAAGATCTTACGTACAGTAATCTGCTTTTTGTTCGTTTTTGGTTTTTGCTGACAGTGAATAAAGATGACATTAAATACCTCCCTTATCCTCACAAATAAAGACCTAGTGATTTCACGTATTTTCTTAACACACGGAGCTATTTTTCTATAGCTACTTGTTACCTTCTGAGTATAATTTACTGAAATACATTACTTTTTCATAATCCTTTACAAAAATCATATCATTTGTAATCATCTTATTGCACATATAAACACTATTTTTAATATTAAAACATTTTATAAGATTGTTCCTGGAACCTTTGTTACTTGAGGTAAGTAAGTGATTTTTTTTCTGCTTCTCAGAAGAATTAGAGAAATTAGAACAGGACAGACTGGCAGTGGAAGCCACTATCAAGGACAATGAAAGTGAAGAAGGAAGCGGACGCATCCGGGGCCTGTTTAAAAAAGCTGGCAGGTTGAACATTACTAAACCAGCCCCTAAGAAAGGTAAGTGCTTTTAAATTTTTACAAGAAAGATTACGGCATGAGCAAGTCCTTGGGCGTCTTTAGACGTCAAAAGCCAACAAGTCAGTGAGTTTACGTTAACGGTGATGGGATGTTTTGGAAAAGGATAGCGAGAATAGGGGCACGATATGAAAAACGTATACAATCTCATTGAAGTGTAAATGTGGAAGTCGTGTTGGTGAATGTTTTGGTGTGTATATTTTCAAAACCACACACACAAAGTTAACATACAAGATGTTGGGAGCATCGAGTGGAGCGAGGGACTGAAAGACGTTTCTTTTGAGAAGGTAGGATGGGTAGAAGATAGAGGCTGTTTGTTGTCCTTAAGCAGCATCATTAAGTATTTTGACTTTACTGTCTTACTGTAAACCTGTATTATAAAATAAGAGTTTTGCTTTTAGTCATACGGTGCTTAAGTAAATTGAGTGCCATAAAATAAGAAATTTCTTATTTAAGAGCAAAAGGGGGTAAAAATTTACGAGCCAATATCCAAACTGCTTAATCCCGTCCCCATCAGACATTTCAGGGGACTAAATGTTGACTTCAAAAACAAAAATTCAAACCCATTGCTGTCGAGTCGATTCCCACTCGTAGCGACCCTATAGGACAGAGAAGAGCTGCCCCACAGGGTTTCCAAAGAGTGGCTGGTAGATTTGATCTGCCGACCTAGCAGCCGAGCTCTTAACCACTGCGGCCCCAGGGCTCCGAATGTTGACTACGACAGGTAAATGGGGGATCCAGCTAGAACCCCAATTTTCAAAAAAGTGTCATTACCACAGACCAGAATGCTGGAGTTGGAACTTCACTGTTGCGAATCACTGTAGATTTCAGCTGAGTGACACATATCTGTGAATGTCCGGTGTACATCCTCGGGACGAGGACCAAAGGATGGGAGAGCTTTACTTGTGTATTTGTATAAGTTTTATAAGGTTGATTCAAACATCTGATTCTTTAAAAATTGCTTTCTTTCCAGAAACACTGCAGGTTTGAGTTTAATGCGGGGG